CACTCGGTGTACAAGTGTATTACAAAGTGATTTCACAATTAAGCACAATATAGCAAATGATTGTTCTCTCTAACAAGGTGAGAACTCAATTAGGCTCAACTCAATGTCACACTATCCCACAACCTAATTATATAATGTATGCAAATACAATAAGCTCAATGGTTGTGTGTGCAAACAAAGAGTAAATCAAATCAAACTAAACTCAATATAAAACTAGCTTTAATAGAAATGATAATCAACAAATAATTATAAATAAAAGCTAGAGTTGAGTTTAGGAAAACTTCTCTAGATTAAGATGGAGAGATGGAGATATGAGCCCAAACAAGAAGATAATCTTCTCAAACTTGTTTTTAAAACTCTCTTGATCAACTTGAAAAGACATCAGCAATGGGTTATATATAGTCTCCAAAACCTCAGCCTAAAACCCCAAGCCAAAAGACAAAACAGCCCCAAGCAACGGTCAGAAAACTAGCCGTTGGAAGCTGAAAAAACACTCATCGGTCGACCGGAAAATTCGTCGGTCGACCGAAAATTTTCATCGGTCGACCGACAGGCTTTCTGTCGCCCAGTGTAGCTTGAGAGTTGAAGACAATGGGTATTTATACCCTCTCACAACTCAGCCAAAAAACCCCAAGAGAAAAGACAAAACAGCCCCAAGGCAACGGTCATAAAAAGAGCCGTTGGAACTGTACTGGACAGGCGTCGGTCGACCGATCCGGTCGACCGAAAAAGCTCTCGGTCGACCGGACCGGTCGACCGGACCGGTCGACCGACGAACTCTCTGTCGGTTACTGAGCAAATGAACAATTTACCGGTCGACCGGTGCGGTCGACCGAAAACTGATATGAAAACTGTTTATCTGATTTTGAAATGCTGTTTAAAAATATCAAATAAATTCCAAAAAATGTAAAACTTTGGGGAATGATTGTAGACATGATAATAAACATGCTACAATGACTGGTTTCGAAAAAGGACTTCCCAAATGAAAGATATCATCATTTTACAAATATGTTCAAAAACATGAAAACCTAAAAATTGATATTTTGATATTTTGACTTAAACAACATTTTGAAACCTTATGAAATGATTGTATAGACTTGATAAAAGATATAACATGTTGTTATGAAGTCTATAATCTAGAAATATAATATTTTCATAAATTTGCATATTCTATGCAATATATTCAAAACACTAAATATGATTTCATTAAATATAAGCTTGTTAAAGGTGAAATCATATATAGGCATATAAACATGAAACAAAATAGTATTTTCCAATTCTATTCATTTGTTTCATATATAAACTCGAAAACTATTAAACCAAAAACGTATATGTATATATATAAAACTATATATATGCAAAAACCAAAACGTGTATGTGTGTATATGATTGAGCTTAAAGTACTAACACACATAATATAAATTCCTAAACTAAATTACCCAAGCAATCTTGATTTTCAACGAAGCTCTTTCTTGGTAATCTTGCGGATGAAGCTTGAACTTGGATCTTGAACTTTTTGTATAGGCTCTTCACCGACATTCCGCCAACCTCCATTGGATATGATCGTTGAAGCTCTATTCCATCCATCCTCCAACTACGTTGTTTGTCTATAATAAATAAGAAAACACAAATACTAGACAAACAACATTAGTAGTAAATTGTTTGTAAATCATCATCAAAACAAGAAGGCCAACAACTAGAACCTGGTTGGTCCTTAGGTTCTATTTCAATCACCTGGGACTTTGAAGTCCTAAAAGTCCCAACACCATTAACCTTGGGCGTCCTAACAATCATGGATTTCTCATCAAAGGTAACATCCCTGCTGATCACAAACTTCGAATCTTCTGTACACCAAAGGCAATAGCCTTTTACACCTTTTGCATACCCCAAGAATATAGCCTTCTTAGCCCTCACGTCAAGCTTTCCCTCATTGACGTGATAATAGACAGTACACCTAAAAATCCGGAGTCTCTCATAATTTGCGTGCTCACCTGACCACACCCTAAAGGGTGTATCATCATCGAGTGTAGAATGTGGAGACTGATTCACTATGTAGCAAGTTGTAGCAATCGACTCTTCCCACCATTTTTTGCCCAAACCAGCATATGATCACATACTCACTGCTTTCTCCCACAGTGTACAGTTCAGCCTCTTCGCGATCCCATTATGTTGTGGTGTTGATCTGACTATCCAGTGTCTAGCAATGTCATCCTGATCACAGAACTCCTTGAATGCACCATTTGTATACTCTGTACCATTGTCAGATCTCAGTGTCTTCAATTTCTTCCCTGTCATGTTCTCAACCATCACCTTCCACTTCTTAAATATCTCAAATATCTCATTCTTATGCTTCAAAAAATAAATCCAAGCATATCTAGAATGATCGTCTATGAACGTGACAAAATATCTAGAGCCACCATTGGAAGTTGTCTAAGTGGACCCCAAATATCCGTGTGCACATAATCTAGTATCCATCTGTTCTTGTGATTGCTTCTCAGAAATTGAACCCTGTGCGCTTTTCCATACACACATTTCTCATAAAAATCCATGCAAGGTTTCTTCAGTTTCTTCAGATCTTCAGCAAACCCTCTTTACCAAGCAGATTTAGACCCTTCTCTGACATGTGCCCAAGCCGCCTATGCCATAACCGTGTGTGCTCACGTGGGTCTCCATCACTTCCATCAATTCTAACCGCTACATCTTCTGACACTGTTGTACCCGAGAGAGTATATAGATTACCTTAACGAATACCCTTCATCACTGCTAAGGGACCCCGAACAACTTTCTTTACTCTGTTCTCTATTACTATCTTGCAACCACCAGAGTCTAAAGCACCAACTGAGATAAGATTTTTTCGTAAGTCAGGAACATGTCTCACATCTGTCAGGGTTCTGACCACTCCATCATGCATCTTGATTTTGATATCGCCAAGCCTCACCGTTTTACAAGCATGGTTATTCCCTATTAATACGGTTTCACCATCAATGCTTTTATAGGTAGTAAACCATTTTCTATTTGAGCACATATGGTAAGAGCAACCCGAATCAAGAATCCACTTACCGGAGGTATCTTCGCCACCCATAACAATATAGCATTCTTTATCGCTCCCTTCCTCCGAGACGTAACTCGCCTCTTCCTTGCCTTCTTTCCTCTCAGTTTTATCGTTGTTCGTTTTCCCACCTACTCTCTTATTAGGACAGTCGACCTTAAAATGCCCAACTTCACCGCATTTGAAATACGTTCTTCCCGCAAGAGGTCTTGATTTAGATCTAGACTTTCCTCCCTTACATTTTTCTCGCTCATTGCTCCTTCCTCTAGCAAACAATCCCTACGCTTGTTCTTTGTTACCACCAATAGTCATGTCACTTGTTACAATATTCTGAAGGTTGTTCGCTAGAAGCGTCGTTCTAGTCTCATCCATCGTCAAATTGCCTCCCACAGGCATCAGTGTTTGCACCAGGTTCTCATAAGACTTCAGCAGAGATAGAAGTAGTAGAAGCGCCTGATCCTTATCTTCAACTGTCACGTCTATGTCCTTTAAGTCTGATATGATCCTATCAAACTTGTTGATGTATTCCCGAATTGATGAGTCATCCTCCATCTTGCAAGTATACAATTTGGATTTCAAATAGATCCGGCTCGTTAGACTCTTTGTTATGAAGATGCTTTCTAACTTCGACCACACGCCTGCAGCCGTTTCCTCTCCATCTACCAAGAAAGCTACATCCCTTTTAAGGCAAAGGATAATCGACGCCCGTGCTTCCAGATCCAGCTCCTCCCAATCCTCATCAGACTTATCATTATGCTTCTTCTCTTTTCTAGCCAAAGCTTTGTGCAATTTTTACGAAATCAACGAGTATTTCATCTGCACCCTCCAATAGGAGAAATCATTCTTCCCATTGAACTTTTCGATCTCGTACTTTTCTAATTTTAACAGTTTTACTTGTTGACGTCATTCTCCGCTTGTATAAATAAATCCGCTTCTCTCAGAAATTCCAACAAATACCTTGTGTTCACCACACAATAATCAAGCACTACCTCAGATCAGAAATTTTACCACCTTTAATCTGAATAAATGGCTCTGATACTAATTGTTGGGCGTAGAGTCACGCTCTCACGCCGCGAAAGCTATATCACCCGAGAGAAAGCCCTGGCTTTTATTTTCACAAAAGCTCAAATCAACCTCTATATTCCCGTTTCACAAAGGAAACAAGAACAGAAGTGAAATATCTCAACAAAGTAAGATATACACTCTTCCTCTTAACAGTTCTAGGACTGAATGTCAAGGGAACCTACAAGCAATAGTCAACTATTGTTCCAGGTCAACCTCTCATCAGTTCTAGGACTGATTTGTCGAAGGAACCTACAAGCAAAACCAACTCACAGTTAAGACACTAGATTTATGTGGTTCGGCAAACGTGCCTACGTCCACGGGAGGGGGTTTTCACTATGAGGAGAATACCAAACTTGTACAACTCACAAGCTCTCTCTCTCTCTGATTTTTCTGTTCCACCATCTCTTGTCCTACCATCCCACATTCACAAAGACAAAGGGATATGGGAAATCTTGTAGAATGAACATCTTAACTATTTTTGTGAACTTCTTCTTTCAAGTTTTCGGGCTAAGAAAGAACAGAGGTATGCTTTAGTGATCAATTGAACAATGTTAATTACTACAGCGCGCATATGAAAGGTTAAATCATGGCTCATATAGTCATATAATTAAGTATGTGTGTTCCAAGAAGTTGTGAACGCTTTAATTGTTGCTCAAGAATCTCCTTAGCTGATTTGAGAATATTGAAAAGATGCAACAGAGGGGAGTCGATAGTCTGTTTGTCTGAAAGAGATCCTAATGCATATGTGGGGTTGTAACTTGCAAATCATGAAAAATGCAAATACTGGCTACAAACAAATCATTTATCCTTCTCAATCTGTTAGCTTTGCTGTTAACAAGCATTTTTCTATGGATATACTTCCAATCAAGTAGAAAGTTGTCCCACTTCGTTCGATTCTTATGCTAACATAAATGCTTACAGATAAGGCACCTCACACCTACATGACATTACATCTAAATCAAGTATAGCATTTATTGGTAGATAAGCTTGTTGACATCTCGCTCGGGCATGGAGGAGAGTCCAATGGCAAATTCTGCTTCCACTCATCAGAAATATTTGGTGGCAGGCTAAAGGGAAAACTAACTGTCCGCGCAGCTCCCCAGTGGTTCTTATTAACAATGATTGTGTTAGAACTCTTCTTCTCGTCTTCTCCGTTCCCCAAGTGGCTTCTTACCTCTGCATGAAAATCATTTGTGAACCCATTACAGTGTTGTGGCTGCCCAAAGTCTATGCTTGGAGAACATTTACCGAATTCACCAAGTATCGAGGGGGATAAGTTTATGAGCATGGATGACAATGGCATGTCACTCGCAGAAAACTTGAAGCTTGTGGATATATCAGAATTTGAAGCAGGGACTGTATATGATCTGAAGTTCATGGGATTATTGAGCTTATTGTAAGTTGGAATACCCAAAGGAGGGTAATTTATACCACTTGTCTGCTGCTGGAAGCCATTGTTGCTGCTGAATTGTATTGATGAACCAGCTTCCATAGTGCATGGGATGTTGTTATCTGATCCGAATTGATTGGCATTCAAAGTGTGGGCAACTGAGAACAAGTCTGATTCTATGGTCTCGGGAAGCGGTGATACCCAGGATTGAGAGAGTGCTCTATGTGCCGTGGAATTTGTCTTCTTGAAAATCCTACAGATTGCCCAGGACTCCTGTGTATTATGATACAAAGGAGGGTAGGTATGTGAGTCATGCACTTACCAAATAAAGAACTGTGATACTGATTAGAACCTAGGTGGTTTTTGACAATTTATGTGAATAATTAAGAAGGTCTAACATATATAATCAAATGCGATGATGGAACTTATGTACGAATTGTCAAAGGAGCGAGCAAACAAATAAACGAGAGGAGAAATAACTACCAATATTTGTAGTACTCGATACATATGCCTAGACACACACGCAACCACGTGTTTATGCTTCTACTATCATAGTAAAATAATTGCGATAACTTTCTCAGATTAGATACAATACATTTGACTTTGTTCAAACTAAGCTAATTTATCATATAGACAGTTAATTGTAATTTCTGTTATTTTCTACCTATTTGATTTAGGAAAAAGCTATCACCTGTAATTTAGCCACTTTTCCACTTTTTTCCTTTTTGAATTTAAGAAGTAGATAGGGTCAAAACTTAGAAGGATGGTTGAAGGGCTTACATTGGCAGGGATGTTCTTGTCTAAAGGCCTCTTAGGCAGGGATGTGTCGGTGATTGAAGGTAGCCTGAACTCATGCATCATCCAGTCGGTCTTAATGCCTTTGGCAGCTCGTCCTTTGTAGAAAACTAGAGATTTCTTAAGGCCAATACACTTGGTTCCCTCAGATGAGTAAATGGGTCTATCAGTTCCTGTAGCTTTCCAGAATCCGGCTCCAGTAACTCGGTTTGGCCTTGCACTGTTCCTATATTTCCTGTCCCTTGGGCAGTAGAAGTACCATTCCTTCTCCCCGCTTGTCGCTAGCTCTTCATTGTGAAAAAACATGTTAGACAAACAAAAATGCAATTTGGTGACTTACATATAATAAATGGGTCTATTGTCTCCTCTAGCTACCAGAATATTTAGGTGTATTCTTGTTTGCCTATACATTTCAGTGACACATATAATTAAGGTTTTAGTTTTTTTTATAATTTAGTATTCCGATATGTTTCTTTTCCTGCATTTAACCAAAATGCATGCAACTAAACGTTTACTTACTCCATGTATATTGTAGGTTGTATGTGTCCGAAGGGAGTGTGTCTAGAGGGAGTGAAGTCCTCAATATACTCGGAAAAAGTGGATGGCTTGTGTGCGAGAAATATCTTTAAGCCTGTCTGATTTAAAAAAAAAATGTTCCTATCCAATATTTATATCTTTTTGAGGAACTGTGCTGACCGGCTATCGAACAGTCTGAAACAGCTAACAGCCTTTTGATAGGGTAGCTCCTCACTAAAAGGACTGAAAACAATGCATTTCTAAGAGTATTGCATGCAAAAAAAACTGAGAAAAGATACAACCTGAATGAGATTTTTTGGACAACTAATCGACAATAATTGAAAGCAGCAGTAATAGTTTACTTAGAACTAAGAGGTAGAACAGACTGTAGTTATATGGATGGACAGATTTTTTTTTTATGTGTGTTCGTGTGAAGAGAGATTTTTAAACACTTACAAGTAAAAGAATCATGACTTACACCAGCAACAAAACAAGAAGAGAAGACAGTATTAAGCCTTTGAAAATATCTAGGAGAAAAATTGAATGGTTGAAAATTTTAATCCGTAATGTATACAGGACAAGAAAGAGAGATAAAAATTATGTGAGTTGGAGAAGAGAAAAAAATGGCATTAAAGCCATAAGGTATATACATGGTGCAAAAGGGTTAATTGTAGCTTACTTGGAAGATCCCAAGGGTCATACTTGTAGATATCGAGTTGCCTGATAAGCTCGATAGAGAGAGGCTTCTTCAGTATCTTTCTCTTCAAGTAAAATCCTACTAGCTCTTCATCTGTCGGGTGAAACCTGAATCCTGGCAGCATCACTTCATCTGCTTTCTCCATATCAGCACTCCTTTCCTCCATAACTCTTCTCTCTCCTTTTCCTAACAGATGCTAACTCTAACAAAATAAGGTAGCTAGATACTGGATGTTCTGCTAACAGAACTCAATGGAACCTTATCGAGTTAAATCACAACATCACAGGCTTTTTTCGAGCTAGACAAGATCTATGGAGAAGAAAAGAAAAAAAAAAAGCTAAGAGTGGGATAAGTTGAGCTCGTACAAGGTCTAGAACATAAAAACTTCAGCACGGCACAATAGGAATCAGACCAAACTAGCGGAAACTGCTAAAGTTGCAATAACCTGGTGGCCTTTTTGGTATTTTGCTATTCATGTCGTGGAAGAATGCTTAAGAAGTTGTTCTTATAAACAAACAAACACTTCAGCTGCTTAAAATGACTTCCGAGGAGCCAGGTCAGCAAACTTCATCTAAATAAAAGTCTCTTTCCACCTTTTTTTTTAGCTTCAAATTTAGCTGCCTATGGGGATTTTCATCCTTTGGTTTTCACACTAATATTATTTCGTATCGTGGAGTTTAATTACAACACTTTTTTAATGCATATCAATACAAAGGTTAGCCTCCATACACGCTTATTATACGGTCATTGTTGATTTATCT